TCTTCAGTAGAAAATCTTTCATTACGCAATTTCTGAAAATACAACAAAGGTTAGTTGTTTGAAGTGTGTTCACTCACTCGACGCACCTACGTACGCACGCACACACACACAGAGACATTGCATACCTCTTATATCTTCTCATTTATTAACATTTGTTGCTCACTACCACAGTTCGCGGTGATTTATACTTTTTGATTATAATTTGTAAGAAATATGCCATTTATGCATATAAATGCTGCCATACACCTTGTGTTTACGGTGAACAAGTTGACAAACAAAATTGCTGTTATGGTTACATGAGAGAAAAAAGGAATTTGCTTATTATTATTATTATTTATTATTATTATTATGTGTTTCATACTTTTTCGTCAGATATTTGTTTTACGAATTGCCGCAACTAAGATGTAAACAGAATAATGTCACTATTACACACTTTTCTTTGATAGCATGGTGAAATCAGAGCAATTGAAAATAGCGTGGGAGATAAGGGTGTAGGGGTATGTGAACGAAGACACCTGGATGGTAACTAACTGTGACTGTGTCCTATCTATTCAATAATGTCGAGTTTTCTAACTACACTTGGTATAAGATTGACAGTATTGAAACGCTGACCTTAGAATTTGTATCTACCAGAGAAATGGTTTTCCATCCAAACTGTTCTGTTATGAGAATGAGTGACATATGTTAGGATCTTTAAATGAGCTGTTGTTTACGTAATGAATAATAAAAAGGACTAACTAAAAAAGTTTAAAATAAACGATGGTTCTCATTGATTGTATCAGAATATTTAACAAGGTTAATAATAGTTGAAGGGAATCCGAGAAGTAACAAATTACTGGTCCCGCAGTTTACTTACTGAATTATGCGTTTCATTTCGTATGGGACGTCATCTGGACATTCTATTGGCCGATTCACTAGGTCCTAGAGTAGTGATCTAACAAGCTCTGATTCTTAATCCAATGTGACTAATAGTTTCATTTGAACCTCAGTCGTCATCTGTATTACATGAACATCACATACTGTCAGTCTAAAACGACTGTAATTGTATTAGTGTGATGGCTTCCAACTTACTCTGTTAAACAAAGCTGAAGTTCGTTTATCAATAATCTTAGCTCAGAAAACACTTCCATACTAATTTCTTTTGAATACTGGTTGATAGGTAGTTGTACTCAACAATCAACTGTTTGTTCATGAAATCAAAGGGCTCTTCATCCAACAACAGACAGACACGTTACACAATAGACACCGAATCCAAAATCTGCAGTTTTGTCGAAAAATCACCAAATAGCACTAAGAAACTTAATGAAAAATGAGTCTATTGTTATTCTCCGACCTGACAAAGGATCAGGTGTTAAGATAATTGATAAAGATAATTATGTGAAAAAAGTGGAATCAGTTCTGAATGACTCATAAACATTTCGAACTGATCCATCAAAGAAAGATCAAACCGAATCGATGGAAAGACGGATTACAAAGAAACTAAGAGAACTTTAGAAGAAGAAGTTGATTGACAACAACATATACAATGAACTGAAGCCTAAGGGATCCAGATTGCCTTACCTATACGGCTTACCAAAGATGCATAAGCCTGACATCCCTATGAGACCAATGTTATCTACGATTAATTAACCGTATCACAAAGTAGCTAGGTGGCTAGCAGAACCGATCAGTGGTAAATTAGCAGTCTACAGCCTGAAAGACACCTTCCAATTCGCTAAACAATTAGAGAATCTAAGCATCTCAAATAAATTTATGGTATCCTTCGACGTGTCTTCACTGTTTACAAAGATCCCATTGGAAGAAACAATACAAATTATATGTCAACATGCCGAACTTCTTCCTCTGCCCAAGAAGGAACTCAAACAACTTCTACTTATGTGCACCAAAGACGTACAGTTCCAGTTCAACAACACTCTGTACCACCAAATTGACGGAGTCGCCATGGGAAGCCCCCTGGATCCGATTCTGGCAGACATTTTTATGGGTAGTCTGGAACAAACAAGGTTGAAATCCGCAATCAGTCAAACCAACTTCTATACCAGGTATGTCGATGACACTTTCGTTATTTGTAATTCTTTTAATGATGCATCTCAAGTATTCAAAGTCTTGAACAGCGCCCATCCTATTATTAAGTTTATAATGGAGTATGAAAAAGAGGAGAAGTTCCATTTTCTTGACCTGGGTATCCAACGAGATATAGACGGCAAAATCATAAGATATATACACAGAAAAGAGACCTGGAGGGCGGTTTATCTTAACTTCAAAAGCTTCTGCCCTATAAGTTACAAAAAAGGATTGGTGAGAGCATTATTTGATCGTGTAAGGAAGCTGTGTTCAGAAGAAAAGATTGAGGAAGAGCTATCCATTGTGGAGAAATGCCTACGCGACAATGGTTACCCACAAAAGTTCATCGACAAGTATGGGAGACGTCATGTTGAAAAAGTGAAAAGCAGCACAGTAGAGAAAAAGCCCATCTTTCTGCAGCTTGCATTCAAAGGTGATGATACTGCTAGTAGAATAAGATGCAGACTGAACGCTGCCCTGAAAAGAACATATCCAGCCGCCAAGCTTGTATGTGTTTATCAAACAACTAGTTGTTTGAGACAATCAAAAGTGGACAAATACCCACCTCATGTTACCTCCAACTGTGTCTACCAATTTACATGTACATGCCAAAGCACATACATCGGAAGAACAGAGAGAAGGGTTATTGTCCGCATTTCTGAACACATACCAAAGAACCTGAGACTGAAAGGTTCACAAGCATTAAACAGTGCGATTGCGCGTCATCTATTAGACACTGGTCATATTGTAGACAACCTGAAGTCGTTCAAAATAATCAACAAGCAAAAGAAACCTAACTTGCTACGCTTTGCTGAAGCAATTGCTATCAAACGACTTAAACCAAATCTATGTACGCAGAAAGAGACAGTGGTGAATCTTGCACTGCCCTGGTGATAACAAAATATACAACTTTTATGAGTCACCCTTTTTCTTGTTTAGAAAACTCTACTCTCTCATCTAAACATGACTCACCCTACCTTGTTTTTTCTCTTCTTTTTTTTCTATTGGCTATTAGATAAAACATTTTCTTTAGTTACGTAATCTACTTTTTTGTTATGCTCTTTCTAGCTAAACCTTGTTTCTATACACACACATATATACGCAACTCTGTTTTTGTTTCCAAGCCTAATTGTCTAATTATTCTATAAATAGTCAGTGTTTGTAACTCTTAATTAGTTAAATCATTCCGGACTAATGTTACTTTTACTTCCTACCAATTACTCCTTGTGATCGTGGAAAAGTATGTTCAAATCTTTAATGTAATTCATATTTTTTATCGTTCAGGTTGTAACCAGTTGAGAAGAATCCTCGAAATAATAAAAGATGAGCTCATATTATCCTGGTACAATTGTTGTTCTTGCTTTGTTCAACATTGCATATTAGTCGGCATATAAACACATCTCTTATTACTTCATTGTTTGCTGTTTTGTATAAAGCCATCCCATGTATATATTAGGTGAAATGCATGTATTAGATAATGCAATTCATCATTCTCTGACTACAACACTCACAGATTACTCAGTTGCCTGCAGCCGTATGACATAAACTCAGGATTTATTATTTTCTATTTTTACTGAATGCATAATGAAGAGAGACTGGTCTCCAAGGGCTTGTAACTTTCTTTTGTCATGTAGCATCAACCTATACATTTCTCCTAGATGGTAAATTGAATGCCTCAACAGCATGACACTTTTCTCACAGTTTCCTAGATCATTAAGTCTAATATAACTGACTGTGTGAATGTAAAAATGCTTGACACTCTCCTATTTCATCTTTACGTGTTTGCAAACCAAGCAGGAACTGTAATTCTTCACTTGCTAGGTGATAAAAACCGTAGCTAAAAACTTACTAAATATCTCAATAGTATTCTAAAAATGTAGTCTGTGGCTACTCTCTCTACTCTACAATTCCCCATATTAGCCAGCAGTATAAACTATATTCAGGCTTTTATCCTGACTGCCTTGCATTATTTTTCAATATCTACCGAATGAGATGCTTTCATTTGAGTATCCTCGACTTTCGAAGCAAAACCATGGCGGAAATTCGTATATACTTGCAATCAATTGACTGGAGTGTGGAGCTGTCGCTCATTAGTTGGTCTAAGAGCTCAGATTTTAACTACTGGGTCAGATTTTCGAAGCTCACTCTGTGGTGAGAGCTGTCTGCTAGCCGAAATTGGTAAATAGCAATTGACGTCAATGTTGACGTCCCATATCTTGGTCATGAGAAAAAACAAGAACAAAGACTAACTCAACAAACAGTCACAGCAGACTTTGCGTGGGCAGATACGATTTGCAGATATATGGTCTGACCTTCAAAGAAACGGCCACAATGAGACGACAGATTAACTTTCAGGGTGAAAACAGACGCTGTTTCTCTGCTAATAATAACGAATAATAATGCACATAAAAATGTATAAATATCTCTTGATTTCCTCAATAGACGATCTGTTGCCTAGCCCTTGTCTTCTGTCGTTACAGTTCCATCTACCTAGTCTTGTGAAGCCAGTTAGTATCACTAGCTTCTTACACAATGGTTGTGACTCATTGTTCAGCTGGTTATTGACTAGCTTTATGCCTTTCACCTGCAGACTGACATTCTCCTTAGACTAGGTACTTTCATCATCTACATATAAACTTAAACAAGGATCTCGCTACAGGAAATCTTAAATGTAATTAAAAACTAGAAAATTAAACATGTGAAAATCAAAGAAAAAAACCTATTTATTGTTTTGATTTAACATACAATCTAAAAAAATAACAAGTTTCCCTGAACTGTTGGTAAAAAAGTAGGTAGACTGTGGACAATTTTGTTTCAGAAAAAATAAAAAAAATAATTAATATAAGAAATGTGAAAGTATAAAATAAAAGTAGTGAAATTTGAGTTAATATATTATATGTACTTCCTAATAGGCGGTGGAAATGTGATTATAAAAACACATTCAATACTGATGAAGACAGGTTGGTCCGAAACACTCAAACATATTTCCTAATAACAAAAACCTAATTTATATGTTTGTATTTAGCATACTGCTTCTGTGTATTTCATGCGTTTTTCGATGTTTACTTAAATGATCACTACGCATAAAGCGTTTATTGCATATATTACATAAGAAACGTTTTTCACCAGTATGTGTACGTAAATGACGTTGTAATTCATCTGATCTAGTAAATGCTTTATTGCATAATTCATATATACACTGAAATGGTCTTTCATCATTATGCCATCTTAAATGAGCTTTTAAATGACTTGTTTTACTATAAGTTTTTCCACATATGTCACATATATGTACTTTATGCATTGAATTTCTATTTTCTACATTAAGTTTTTTGATATTGAAACCATTGAAGACATTTTTGTTATTATTATTATTGTTTGTTTTCAGATTACGCGCCATTTGACAATTGAAACATGTACATTTTTGACACTTTTTACTAGGATGTGATTTCCGTAATTTTTTATCTTGATATATTGTAGATGTTGATGATATTATTGTTGTTGGTGAAGTTGAGAATATACATTTCTCATCAATATTATCCCTATTATTAATGTTATTTCCTGAGGTTTGAGAAATATTTGAAAGGTTAGTTTGTGCTGTTGTCTTGTTCAAGTGTTCAATTGAAGGGTTAAATAGGTGCTGATGATAATGTAATTGTTCTAAGCGATTTATTTCATATTTAGTCAATATCGGTGTAGACAAATTTTGAGAAGTTTTATTCATATTATTGATTTTAGAATGGACGGCATTCGACTGAGAAATAGTTGATTGTGATGAATATGTACAAAGTTGTTGTTGTTGTTGAGATTGTTGTATTGGAGTGGATGAGTTAGTCGATCTACTACTGTTGAGTAAACTTTCAATTACACGATTACTGCTTGTCGGAGGTTTAAGATTTTTGTATTCGGCAGAAATCTGTCTGCTTTGAACAGGTCGAAATGCACTTGGATCTGATCGAATACACCCATATACACCTAAGTAAGGAGAATCAGGCGTATTGGTAATGTGTGATTGTGTTGAAAAGTATTCATTTTTAAGCACTGATAACAATGGAGATTTATTGATTGATGGACTGCTTTCTTGAGTTTTTAAATTATGTACACGTGTGTCGTCCGTTGTTGATGTTCCTCCTACTGTTGGCTTTATCACTGTCGCTGTTACACTACTAACACCTTTAATCCGATTTAAATGCTCTTCAAGACGAAGTTTCAATACTTTCATTTCTGGACTACTCCAAAAACTTTCTTTGATTTCAGCATTATTATTATTGTTATTATTATCTTCAATTTTTTTAACAGACTGATAGGATGAATTCATTATACGTAATAATTCAGTAGTATAATTTGAATTGATAAAATTTACTTGTTGATTTATTCTAGTCATATCAGTAACAGGATAACTTTTCCGGTGATTCCATTCAGATAGACAATTCATTGAACATTGAATTGATTCATTAACACCGAAATTATTCTCCCTGGTTTCTTTTCTTTTATCATAATGTATGGAAGGATTTGAAATGTGCAGATTTATTGCTTTTTCTGAAAAACAATCTTCATTTTTCAGATTCATTACTAAAAAATTTCAGAGAAAAATAAAAAATCATAAATAGTCTTTTATTTGTTCGTTTTTTAAAAGATAGAAGTGTTCAGCATGAAGTATGCATCAAAAGAATGTGTTACCTGACTTTATTGTCATTTGGTCGATGGTGATTAGTAGTGCAACCTAGAGTGTGCACTTCGTCCTATTTGGGACCCATCAACCAGATGCACATGCATCTGTGTTCGAAATCAGCATGCATTCTTTTCAAATACCAAAGATCTATCCACTGGGCCAGAAAAGCCACCTCTTGTGTAAAGGTTATCAGTTGTTTGTTTGTTTAAGTTAAATTGGGGATTACCCGTTGGTTGATTTAAATTCGATCAAAATGCAGACAAGTCAACATAGATTGAGCATTTCGGTTCAGTATAAATCAATCAATGGGAATTTCAAACTAACAAGTTACTGAACTTTATTCATTTAGTTCTTTTAGAATTCTGACAACCAGTTGTATAAAGAACTAACACTTGTTTGTTCCTCCCTTTCATATGAATCCAAACACAATTCAGTTAGAATATGACTACCAAAAAAGATCCGTATCTGTTGTATACCCCCAGCGTTGTTATTGTTGTTGTATGCCCTTAATTTCGTGTTAATATGAAGATCTATATTAAGCGTATCAGTGGAGTTTACCATTTCCAAATAATGTCTGATAAGTGATACTGGATCGACATTTAGTCTGTTGACTGATTCTTAATTTTTTTCAAAATTCTCTCTGAATACATATTATGTGATATTATTATTGATTTTTGAACAGATGATTGTAGACAATAATAAAAGCTCTCTGTTTGTCTGTCTGCATGTTTTCGACATAGAACTTTGCACATATATGCGGCAGTTCAAGTTGCCACACTCCATGTAGTACACAAAGCAAGAGAAGAAAGTAGACGAAATGCATATTAGAGACAGTAAACAGAGATATGAGACAAAAGGAATAGTAATAACGAAGAACAATATGATTTCATTGGAAATTATAAGTAACAAGGAATGGATGCATCTGCGCCTGCCATTGAGAACGATTTTGAGCCATATCACCGATTGTCTCCAGCCATTGGTGTGTATCGTCCCGAGGACCCCAACCAGGAAGCCAGTCTACACCTTCCTACGTGGCTTAGACTAATTGTTGTGGATTTCATTGTCTGGTGCCATGTTTTGGTTTGACCGCCGCTAGCTCTTTTCCAACCTGGCCATATATCAGCTAACATTGCCCGTCGAGGAAGGCGATAGATGGTTAGGCATACATAACACATGTCCTAACCATCTCAGTCGATGTAGTTTCACAGCCTCGTCGATTGATTTCCCCTCCTTACCTAGCACTCGACGCCTAACCTCAATATTGCTCACCTTATTGTGCCACTTCATTCGGGAGATAGAACGCAGACACCTATGATCAAAGATCTTTTCATGTCTTCCACTCTCAATGGTTAGGTCTCACACTAGCCATAAAGGAGGACGGAGCGGACTGCTGAGCAGTACACACGCCCTTTGGTCGATAGTTGGATATCACGTCTACGCCAGAGACGGCGTAAACTGGCATATGCGAAACTAGCCCTCTGTATTCGTGCTGAGATTTCGTCAGAGATCAACCCGTTGGCACTGGCTGATGGTACTTCCCAAGTAAGTGAAGCGGTCAACGTGCTCTACCACTTCACTTCCTATTTCTAATCTAGGAGTTGGTGTAGTCCAATCCTGTAACATCATCTTGCATTTGGCGGGAGCGAATCGCATGCCAAACATTCGTAGATTGCAGCTCAAGGTGTTCAGAAGACTCTGCATTTTTTCAGCGTCCTCGCCTAGAAGGACTATATCATCTGCGTATTCTAAGTCAACGAGATTATTCCCTGGTAGCAAGTCAATCCCTGAGTCGCTGAAGTGAGTTAGGGTTAAGTCCATTAGTACATCTATGATGAAGTTGAATAGAAATGGGGATAATGGGCATCCTAGCTCTCTACTCAGTGGTTCGTCTTCTTTCCTTCTTGTGTTGCCTGTAAGTGGTATCGTGTTGTTCTGTTTGTCCTTGCGGATAGTGATTATTAAAGTAGGTAGGCAAATCTACTAGTTAACAAGTTCGTTAACGCAACAGACTCGTAAACTACTAGATTGTATTGATGGTTATACGAATATCTCAGTCTTTAGACTGTTTGGATGACAATTCTTAATACTGCAATGTGGAAATATATTCGAATCTTTTTCCAGTTATACTAATTAATCCATCTCAGGCAAGTAAAGAAAAAAACACCCGCTGAGTTTTTGAGAATTCTACTAGCTTTTGTAGTAGACTGTGTTTGGAATCATTATCAGTTAAAGAAATATTGAAAATCAAGAACTCGTAACGCCTATTTTACCCTATATAAGAATAATTCAGTACTACTTCGAAAACAGATTGAGCGTGAAAGCGTCACTTTTCCAAGCGAGCATGTTACTATGCATCCATCCACTCAGTGGAAATCCGATGGCTCATAGTGCTGCTCTAGCATAAAGTTTCTCTTCGAATCCGTAGAATTTCCACATACTTAACATCTAAGATGTTAGTTCATTGTTTACTATTGACTGATTTCAAAGTCATTTTCCAAAGATTCTGATGTAGTGAAACACACTACAGGGTTATTATTATTATTATTGTTTCCTTTAATTCCTAGAGGAACATAGGGCTTCAGCCGTGTGTCTCCATTGCGTTCGGTTCTCTGCTAGAGTCTTCACCTGACTCCAAGTCTGTCCACACGTTTTCATCTCCTCTTCACATCACCTCCTCCAAGTCATCCTTGCGCCGACGACCAACTCGCCGCTTCCGTTTCGGGTTCCACTCTAGCAATGGCTTGTCTAGTGATGTCACTTGATGGCTTGTTTCCTCAGAGTATGACCAGCCAATCCATCTCCATTTCTTCCTGCCTATTTGTTTCACAATCGGTTCCTGCTGTGTTGGTTCGCTCATTGACAGAGATCTCTGTTGCTGATCTTTTCTGACCGGCCATCTGATCTTGAGTATTGAGTGAAGACAACTGTTAATGAAGGTTTGCACTACAGGGTTAACTAAGTTTAATGTTAAGAGAATCACTTATGGATGAGACTAGATAGGAATGGTACTGCCTAGTATATAGGCAGTATCTAAAGATGTTGGGACTATATATATGTATGACTTTTCGAGATAAGCTCACTTTCGTCCACTGAGTGCATTAGAATTCATTTATGCCTAAGACTACTGATAATATTGTGAAGGATTTTGGGCTTATGCAACAAACTGACGGAAAACGACAACATAGTAATTTCATGCTATGTGAATCCTATAGAATTATTCATGTATGCAACACATGATGAAATGACTTACAGTAATATGTGCATTTAGCAATGCGAAATCCACTCATACTCAGTTAGTCTGTACGTCTAGTCATTTTAAAAATCACTCAGCTATGTGACTCAAATGACAGAATTCTGTATTCCTCAAATTCACAATTTGCGAATTAATAGGCAATCTGCAATTTGCACAGTTAATTCGAGGTGAAATTTCGTCATAATTTCCTTTGAAAACAAAAATTGCATTATGTGATCTGCTTGAGACGAAAAATGGTGATCAAGAAAGCAAAAATCAATACGCAAAACTTTAAACTACTAATTAACTGGGATGAGTGGTTATGTATATTACTCACACCAACTAGCCATCTGTAGATCACAATAAGTAAATAATTTTGGTTTCCGTAGGAAATTGTGGCAAAGTTTCACCTCGAACCATCTAAATTGAAAATCTCAAATTAATTTGTAAATTAGGAATTCGATTTCATGTGTTACCAGTTCGCCCAAATGGTTAACCAGAATTCGAATGTTCTGAACGCATTTGGCCCTCTGAGATGAATAATATCAGGTATATTTTTTATTCCTTTACGTTCCCAGTGGAACATAGGGTTTCAAGCTAGAGCTTTGAAGTTTCGGTAGCAGTGCTATTTATTTCTACGGGATGGGGTTGCTAGCCTCATGCCCAGCCTTCCCTCTTTACCAGTCTTATTACTGGCGTAGCGAGCGAGGTAAAGGAGTGCGTCCGTGGCCGGGGATCGAACCCCGAACCACCTGTGTGGTTGGCGAGCATTCTACTGCTGTGCCACAGACGCACAATATCAGGTATACTAATAATGATAATTTCGGTCCAGTGTTAAGACTACTTCTATTTGGCTAGCGAACGCCACAGGTTGGTGTGAGTGGTATTCAGCTACTCACACGAATCGAACAATTTATATATAGCATCATGTACTTATTCTTTATTCTGTCTGCTTATTAACAGCTAAATATAAAACTAGAATTGTAAAATTTCCTAATAACTTAAAAATTGTGAAGCAGTCTGTGAATTATCGACCAAAATTTACTGGCGATAGGTGCATCGGTGGTTCAGTGGTGGAATGCTCGCCAACCATGCATACTGTCTGGGTCCGATTCCCGGCCCACTCACTTCTATACTTCACTTAACCAGTGGAACTCCTGTAAAGGGGGAAGCTAGTGACCCCAATTCCCGTATGAATAAAGAGAAACTCGATACCTACTAGAGGAAAATTTTACTGTCATATACTATAATCATCAGATAGTTTAACTAAACTGTCTATATGCAAACATGAAATTTAAAATACGCTCACTATACAAAAGTAAAAAGCTTTCAATCACTGTGTTAATACACCTAAAAATTAATACTAGAAAAGAAAACGGATATCACAAGAGCTAAATCTAAGGCAAAAATACACAGTAGAAGTAAAAATTGATAATCAATATCTGAAGATAATGACTAGATGTGACATAAAATTTGAAAAGTAGACAAAGTTCACTATGCAGTGTACCAGATAGGTAATAAATAAAGGCAAAGTTAATCCATATGTAATTATTCCCTTAATTTTATGCAAAATACAAATGTTTGGATCAGGATAAACTTCAACAACTTTGTAAACGAAAACAGTCAGTAAGCTATATTCAATTATTATGAGATGACTAAAGATAAC